CGTTGAATGTATGATAAATGCTCTAAGTATGAAGCATGAATTAGTTCTTTTGAATTTGCAAAAAAGAATAAACTACATAAAAATTCAAAAGTGAACCGAAGTTTGAAAATGTAGCTTTCTTATGTAGATTTCTTTCTTCTTCTTAGTTTAGAAGGGAGAGTTATTTCTTCTAGAAGGATCATGTGAACGATGTCGTTTCGTTCTTTAAAAGGTTGTTCGCGCGTGCTTCTTACCTTCACGGTGTTTACACGTTAATAAAAAATCAGGATTTAATTGCTATATTTATATCACTTAGAATATTCAGAAATAATTTATGCAAATCAAATTCATAATCTATTGCATCACAAGCATGAGCAATGATAGATTGAACATAAAACATTGGTTATAAAAACTTGGAACTAATCAAGGCAAATTGTAGACATTTTGTTCAAGACAATTTAAGACCCATTACCATATCTTTATAATAGTAACGCCTCAAAGCATAAAGTTTTAGCGAGTCACAATTGTATTGAAGTCTTTAATTCAGGTCTTTGTAGAGTAAGTCACTTTAATTCATTAACCAATAAATCAAGGATAATGCTATTCACACATTCATTTTTACCTCTCACACACTTGTTAATGTTTTGTGATTAATCTTCTTTAATTTATTTCATTCAACGGCCAAAAATTAAGAAGGATGTGTGAGAAGTAAAATGTTTAAATTTATTTAGGTTAAAAAGACAAAAAATTGCGTCATTTGACTCATGTCAATATAAATTTGAACAATCACATCTCATTGTGATTTGAATGAATTTAAATCACAATGAAAAACTAAGAAACATGTGTTCCCACATTTTTGCTGTCAGTTTGTGCTTGATACTAGCGGAAAACATGTTCCACTCATGGCACCACATGGTCCATATTTTGCCACCACTTGTAACATGTGCAACATTTCATATGGTATTAAATAAATGAACTTTAATGAAAAGTTTCTGCTACTGTTCATTTTAACGAAAAATCATATTTTTACACTAAAACGTTAATCCTGGTACTATTCACTTTACCCATTATTTTGTCCTTATCGTTAAAACTCAAAGTTTTCAAGCTATTTTCATTAGTTTTCCTATTAAATAAACTAGTAAAAGTGTTGGCACGATGTTACGTGTGTTTAACATGTTTTGGAAATACATATTCATAGTTATCAAAAGAATAACAACGTTATTTCCAAAAAAAAAAAAAAAGAATGACAGCGTTCAACTGCTCAGAAATGCCATGAGATTTATATACATATGTCCATAGTTATCGGAAAGTTGCCACTGCCCATTGGTTCAATGTTCACAAAGATTTTTCTTGGTCGTCTTTGGTCTTGCTTGTTGCGAATGAGCATCTTTCTCCCCGTCATCATGTTGTTAAAGTGGAATGGTTTCTGTAAGTACTTAACATGAAGAACTAAATTGTGTTAATGTATTTAACTCACACCGAACTTCATCAAATAAACAGAAAAATGTTAACCATGTGTTTTCTTCATGGTCAGTTTGTGACAGGCGTTAGCCGATGAGGTTGGCAACTTGGCATGATAATTTGATATCGAACTCGTTGTTCACGGAGTTTAATATAAGACCTCCCATTTATAAGTAAAAAAAAAAAAATTACTAAACTGTAATACTAAGTACCAAAGTCAAGCATAATCTAGACTTTGAACTTTGTATTTTTAGATGGAGATAGGCTCAGATCCTCCAAAAAGTAAAGAGAGACTTGCATGCACCCGAGATCACGCTGGAGCCTCAAGAGAGGATTTACACGCACTTGATAATGAAATTGTGACGTTATCTCAGAGGTAATGAGGCGTTTTCATGTGTAAAGAAAATTTGTGGTTTGTTCAGGGTCAGTTTGTGACGGGCGTTGGCTTCATATTTTGGAAAGCCAAGTACCATTTGAACCATTTGGAATTTATATGCAGTTCCCTAGTTGGCTACATCCAGAAGGCAATATTTGGAAGATTTTATTTGGTTTTTTAGATAAAGTGGTCTTTGAGATTGATATCTCTTCATTTTGGCCTCTGAAATTTAAAACAGATAGAAGCGGTCCCTGAGTTTGTCCACTGTCAATCATTTTGTAAAATTCAAAGACAAATCAATGGATTTTCAGTTTAAGAATCAAACCTAAACTGAGGTGAAAGTTCAGAGACGAAACTAAATTTTATTCTAAAACGAAAATATCACTGAACTAAGAGCTAGATCTATTAGACGCTCGAGTCATACTAACTAGATTGTCCAATTCTAAACTCAAAAAGCTTGTATAGTATTTCAAAAAGAGCAATGGTTCAAACCCTTTCATTCCATTTCTGTAATATCAATTCTACTCAACCGAGGAAAATAAAAAGTTGTTTATACTACAACAACAACAACAAAATCTTATCTCACTAAATGGGCTCAGCTATATGACTCCTAGAACGTCACTGCACTCGGTTTTGTTTCTACAAAATATAAAATAAAAAACCAAAAGAAAACGAAACCGTGAAAAAATTAATTGCCCAGAAGAATATTTGGACATCTCACTTGTTTAGTCTCCTTTGACATGCTGCCGCACAAGCATAAAGCCGAATGATGCAACGATGCCAACCAGATACCCAACAATTGCTCCATAACTCACACAAATAGGCCATTCCTGCAGAAGAGAATACCATATCTTCAGACCTCAACAGAAAAGGAGAACAAGCCAATAAAGTGGATGATCCGAATGATCGTACAGGTTACTCGGACATTCAACAACATAACAAATCATCTTCATTTTTCTGAAGAAACTAGAGAGAAATAAATATGGCAAAGGTGCTACTTTTGAGTACTCCCCAGAACAGATTGAACTCAATACACGGCAGTCTTTCAATTTTCTGAGAAACAGAAGGATTCCAAGATGGAACAACTTTATAGAAGTTTATACAATATGCGAACACTGCTGAAACATGGGCCACCAACCTATGTTGCATAATATGGGATATGATAAGTTGACATGGTTATACAATAAATCTCCAAAAAGTAGGATGCAGACACATAACACCCAATCTATTGATTCCAACCCATTGTTTGTGCATCACATTCTTCATTAATCAGCTATCATGAGTTATGCGACTCTTATACCCCAAGAACACTAGTCAAGAAAAGAAAACTGGTTCGACACACTGTCAGCCCAACATTATTGGCTCTCAAGATTGGACAATTTGGACGGTTCTCAGAAGACTGCCAAATTTTGCAATAATAGCTAATGGCATACATTACATCATCACCTAACCTATGGTGAATTAAAATGTTTTCTGACAGAACAGAAAAGTACATATCGATATTGATTATTGAACAGTTCAATTTCCAAATAAGTGCGATAGAAAGCACAGAAGAAGAAGATATACAATTTAAAGAGAAAGTTTCCACAAGAAGCGAATAAAGAAAGAAAACTAATCTTGCAAAAGAACTAAAAGCACAGTAATATAGTGGAAACAAGAAAAAGGATAAAGATATTACCTGCCATGGACGTTCCCAGTCAAGCGGCATTGGAAAAGCCCCAAACCAAGCACCAATAACAGCTCCATGTGCTGGTAGACAAATCATATAATCCACAGGTTCAATAAGCCTGCAAGTACAAGGTAGAACCGATAGCTAGTATAAGTTTAGAACACCTACATTCCCTGATGGAATCAAATTTCAGTATATATGTACTCTACCCAATCAAAGATTCAAATGATATGAACATGGCTAAAAATGAGAGGAAAGAAGCAAATGAGGATAGGAAACTTGCTTTGTAAATGCAAATATACGTTGCCAATCTGTCCATGATGAGCCAAATACAGATGCTGCAGGCGCAATCTGCCCAAAACACACAAATCGAGTTTTATAAGAAAGAGAATTAAACTATTTAATTCATGTACAAGTAAGAACTGCATTTCTTAAAGAAAAAATGTCATTAAAGGTTATTTCAAGAATGAGTGTCAGATATTAACAAGTAATATAGAATACTGGAATGAAGCTTAAAGAAAGTTGAAGAATTGCATCCAAGATACTATGAAAGTAGAAGTAAAAATTTTCTAAAACTTGGAAATGCAATGTAGAGGAAACTTACAGTGAACAATGACATTACAAGAGACCAGTTAATGGTCTTTGGTAGATACCTGTGTCAAAAAGGAAAACAGGAAAAAATTACGACTGATTGTACTATAACTCAATCTATTAAAAGGTGAATCAGATCATTGGAACAGTTAATAACACATCTATTTCAGTAATTCTGAAAAACATGAATCCACAGTTGAGGTTGAATAGTTACCAAATCCTCGAGAAGTCAAACATAAACCTATCCACCATGACTAGTTTGACATTCTTTTGTTCAACCAAAAAAAAAAGAGCACATGCAAAGAAGTGATTTGAGTTCCAAAAAGGAAGGTGGATAGTGTACCTTATACAATGATGAAGTGACGGAATTCTAGTTTTGTTCATAGGAAGAAAGGGTGCAAATCTATCCCCTTCCAACCTCAACTTGTGACTTCTAGTTTCAGAATTACGGTAATTAATGAAATTGGCTATTGAGCACTTAGTTCACATACTGGATGCCAGCAGGTGCGCCCAACACTATTGCTCCTAAAGCATTTATCAGAGCCCCTACAGAACGGGTAAGACATAATTAATTGTTATAGTTTCTTGATGAATAGTATCACAAATTAGTTAAACAGTTTAAACTAAACCCTAGAATAATTAAAACAGAGTGGTGGCCATTTTTGTGCAACATAATAATGAAAATTCCTGAAATGGAGCTTCTTGGGTGACTGAAGCAGGACTAGAGATCACTAGTCGCAGCAATGAACTTGCATTTCTTTTGTCAGAATTTAATCTGAATCCATTAGAACCAAATAGCTAGCGTATTTAAACGTTATATACGACAATGCTTTTAGAACAGAGCAGAATCAGTGAAAAATATACACCAGAGCACAAGTGAAAAGTTGGATTACGGACTAACCAGCAGGAAGTCCTAGCAGGCCACGCCCTACCGCTTTGAAGTACTGTAAAATCACATCGAAGACTATAAGAGAAACTACAACAGACCAAAAGTCAAAAGGAAAGAAATAAATTCATGGAAGGCTTGTTGGGTTGCTGAGGAAACAGAAGACATCTCATTTTCCTATGCTTCCCCACATTTCACATCCGTTTCTCAGCTACCAAATAGAATAACAAAAAGCATAACAACTTACAGAGCATCGTTCATGGTCCTTCCTATACCGGCTGTAAAGAAGAATCACAGCTGGGCATTCGAAAAAACCTTCAAGAGAAAAACAAAATCCCAGAACAAATAAAACAGAAGAACAATATAATCATAAAGAATTGAAAGAAAAAAAAAATCAATATTTTCGAGATTAAATCGAAAAGTCAGAGTATAGAAGAAGGTACCCACCCAGATCAAACGGAGAGTAAGAGAAGGATGGGAGGTGAGGCTGATGGAGTGGACATTGTGGGCCACCCAGAAAGCTACCGCCAATCCGAAGCCAGAAATCAAGTGGACCACCAGTGCCTCCGCCTTGGATATTGCTTTCGAGGAGGGTTTAGCGGCCATCTCTTTGTTCTTCTTCTGCTTCATTTGCTGCTTTTTGAAATAAGCTGCTTCTGCCAAAAGTAATCTGCTTTAATTGTTGGGTCGATTCGACTGTGTGCTGTGGTTGGAGAATATGAGAGATCTGAAGCAGAAGAAGAGGGAGAGTGGTGGTCAGGACAAGGTTGTCTCAGGATCCCATTCTTTTTTTTTTTTTTTTTTTTTGGTCAAATTGAACCCATTGGTTTTGGCTTATTAGCATTGTATCTGTCGTGGTCCATTATTATTGTTGGGCTATTCTTTCTTTTTGCACACGGAAAATTATGTTTATAATCGTCTCTGGACACCTTGTTCTTTGCACCACCCTTCTCAATTTGTAGCCTATACAGCCCTAGGCAAAGAACGATTCTCAAAGGACCTCCATAGGCCTTTTTTCCACACCTCGGGTGGTCCCAGGATCACCCCAGTCCCTCTGGGGATCAGCCCCTAATCTACCTACAGGTTACCTTTGATTTGGTGGATGGGGGCCAGCCATGGTGTTTCAGCAAGAGAGAGAGATGAAGATTATGAAAAATGTCGCTGCACAGCCACTACCAGTGGCAAGGATGACGACCACTAAATTCAAGGAGCGCCATTTTGAGGTTGATGAACTCGCCAGCGACTGGTGGTGGTTATGCTGGCATAGCTTCTTCAACCTTTATTATAGCTTATGCCGGCACAACCACCACCAGTCGCCCGCGAGTTCACCAACCTCAAAGCAGCCCTCTTTCAAACAATAATCTTTCCGGACGTTTCCCAATTCAAGTGCTCAGTTTAACTATTTCTCCAATGAATTTGGGTTGGTAATATTATTCTCATTCTACAACATAATATCAATTCTGGACAAAAACTAACAATGAGGCTTGGAAAAGCAGAAAATTACAACAAAACTACAAACTTCAATACCAAAATTTCCATGATAACAATGTAGAATTGAATGCACCGATTAACCTGGCAATCTAAAATTAACCCAACTCAAAAAACTAGAAAAATAAATAAATAAATAAATAACTTAAGGATGCCACAATCAAATTAAATTCTAAATTGGGAATAATTTTCTTGATAAACCCTAAAAATCAAGACTATTGAAGGCACAATTCAGACAAAATTACGACTTTCATTATAAACCAAACAAAATAATAATTGGGAGAATGATAAACAGCTTCAATCAGCTAACGACGAAGAACCACTGAATCAGAGAGAGAGAGAGAGAGAGAGAGAGAGAGAGAGAGAGAGGAGAGAGAGAGGAGAGAGAAGCTAACCTCGCCTGGTTTTAGTGAGGGGTGACAGAGTGAAATGAAATCGGAACTGGAGCGAATGCTTTTGCAGTTGCATCGAGAAGAAGAGGACCCATATGGCTTTGCGTGTGCGCGGAATCCGGGTATGGGCTTGGAGCGGTTTGAATCCGGGCATGGTCTTGGAGCGGATTAGGTTACTCTTTTGTCTGTTTAACCTTTTCGTGAATGTCACCTGGTGAGGGTAGTTGATTTTGTTGTACATCTTCTCCCGATTCTTTTTGTGAGGAAGTTAAAGATTTTCCAAATTATGTTGGTTCATCGTACACGTACGGTTTAAAAATTATTTTAAATTATTTTATTTAAAATTAACATAAATAATATCTGACGAAAATTAATCGCAAAATGTTGGATGAACAAACATGATTTTAAACATTCTCGAAATCCTTGTAAGAAGATTCGGAGAGGATCCTTATTCATATTTGTAGGAATGACCCACCAACTTTACTTTATTTTGAATGTCACTATCAGTACTTTCTGTTTTGTTAGTATTTCCGCATCCCGTAATACAAAATTTAAATAGTGAAATTTAAATGACGCCATCATTTAAATCAAAGATTTTCAAACATAACGAAGAAAATACCACTACGCGTAATGCTACATAAAAAACAAGGCAAAAAATTTCACTAGGAAAAGACAACGAGAAATGTTATTGAGAAATAATATTTCTTTTATTATAAACAAACGATATTATCTACATTATGAAGAAGAGGGGACTAGCCTCACAATGGAGTGGCAATAATGTGATTCAAATTTATTTTAGTGAGAATCGAAGTTAAGATCTTTCATTTAAAACAAAGAGAATAATCATTAGGCCGTAAAATTCACCTTGGCAAAAATCAAATCTAAAATTTCATTTACAAATAAATAATACTACTAGGCTTTTTTTTAATTCAAAAATATATTTTACACTAAGAGGGCGGGAAGTTCGGCTAAGCCAACAATGGGCAACCTAATTTGCGAATTCATCATACGAGATTTAAACGAAATTAACGAGATTTAAACCTAAATTATCTCACTTACTAAGAAGAAATACTATCATATCCGTAGTACTAAATGACCACTAGCCATATTTTTTTTTAGGTTTTAAGAATGGTTTCCGGCGCCGCTCTGGGAGTCAGCATCGTTTGGTATACAAAAGAGTCCATCAGCCCAATCAACGATCACCTACCTTTCGTAGTAACCCAGCACCCACTCCCATTTATATAGATAGAAATCGTCCACCTACCCACACTCTGCAACCCATTTTCCACCATTCCCATTTCTTGATTGAATCTTTGATAAAACAAGAAGCAAGGTCTTTTTTTTTGCCAGAACCCACGAAGAAATGGATTCTTAGAGTACGGATCCCCAGATCCTTGTGCTGCGGCTGTGGCTGTTTTGATTGCGGCTGTGCTTTCTCTCTCCTCCAAGAGCCCAAAGTTTGAACTTTTTTTAATCCCTTTTTGTTTTCTTTCAATTTTTTTGGATAGTTGGTTTAACTTTCAATCAGTATGGTTTACTGTTTTGATCATATATGGTTGATCATTCGAGTGTTGACGTTGGGTTAGAATAGTATGCTTTTTCTGGATTTTATCTGGATTGGATTGGGCACCCCTACTTTATAGATATACTCCACATTCTTTATATCTTAAAATGTTTTCTTGGAATCACCCCTTCTCCATCAAGAATCAGCCACAATTCTTCTTCTTCTTCCATGACAAACCAAATGTTGATTAAAGAAGCAAGCCACATCTTACAATTGTTCTATATAATTCATAAACCCGATATATATGCAAAAACACTTTAACCTAGTGGAAAAACGTTTACGCTGAAAGCATTCCTCCTAGTACAAAAATTCAGGTCGATTCTTTTGGAATCTCTGAGACCCAGTCGTCAGAGACAATTCCGTTCGCTGGTGGACGACTGCAGGTCGTCCTGACGATGGGCAATGGCCTTTGGTTTCTCGACATAAAAAAATAAAAAATAAAAAATTGAATCAATAAAATATATGAATTCAATCAAATAAAAGGTTTAACATAATAACAATAATTGAAATGCAATACTTTTTGGATTGAAAACGAACAATCTCTCTTTACTGCAGGGCCATGAGCATGCTGATAACGTTTTATGACCTACTTTATCTAAAGGAAAGAGAGGGTGCATTATAGACAAGGGTTTGAAGAATTATGTATATTATTCTGTAGACCTTTTGCCTTTATTTATAGTAAACTAATGATGATTTCTTTATTGTACAAGTAAAACAATCCCAAAGGAAAATGATCTTCTAGTATCTAAATACAATCTACTAATTATTTACACAATCATACATGTGCTAGAAAAGACCTTATGCCTTTATTTTCCACAATTATAATGATTTACACAATTTTACAATCTTAAAAGGAAATGACCTTATGCCTTTATTTTCTATTGACCTTTTTACTATACATTTTGAAAAAGGCTATATTTAATTACTTAAGAAAACCTCAATATTCTTACGTTCAATGAAAGTTTTAGAAAGTTAGGAACTTTTAAACCTAATTTCAAATCTAGGAGCAGAGAGAGATCCCGGTGCACCGAAAGTGGAGGAGGGAGTCTTTTTCTAAACCATAAATAGATACTGCATATTTTCATATCAAAAAAGAGATACTGTTCTTGAGGTTCGGAGTTTCCTCCTCGACCTTTTTTTTTTTCTTCTTCTTCTTCTTCTTCTTCTTCCTCCGAATCTACCCAGATTCAGTTTTTTCTTTTTTTTTTTCTTCTTTCTTCTTCTTCTTCCTTCTTCTTCCTCCGAATCTGCCCATATTCAGTTTTTTTTTTCTTCCTCCTTCTTCTCCTTCTTCCTTCGCCTTCTTCGTTCTTCTTCTTCTTCCTCTGAATCTGGGGGAAGATGAAAGTTTTTTTTTTTTTTTTTGTTTGAGGAAGAAGAAGAAGAAGGAGGAGGAATGAAGGAGGAGGAAGAAGGGGAAGGAAGAAGGAGAAGAAGGAGGAAGAAAAAAAAAAGGTTGCAGTCAGAGGAAGAAGAAGAAGAAGAAGAAGAAGGAGGAAGGAAGAAGGAGGAAGAAGGAGGAAGAAGGGGAAGGAAGAAGGAGAAGAAGGAGGAAGAAAAAAAAAAGGTTGCAGTCAGAGGAAGAAGAAGAAGAAGAAGGAACAAAACAAAAATATAAAACAAACCATTTGAAGATCAAGGCTTGCGTACCGCAATGTCTTTGAAATAGAAATTTCGTCCCTACTTAGTGCTTGTAGTTCTATGAATGTCTGCTTCACCAGGATTCAACGATTTAAGTTAGAATTCCAGCACCGGAAAACTTAACTTCTAGCGAATTTCCTTGTGGTACTCTCAGTAAGAATGCTATGGGTTATAGAAGGAGATATATGTTTTCTGTGATCTAAATGACATGCAGACGGATGTATATATAGAGCGATTATGCCTGTTAGCAACAAGTATAGGAATGGGATGTGACTGTTGGGAGACATCTCTTCAGATAGGGTGCAATGCTCTCCGCGCTTTTATTAACTTCAGATTTCATCTGAAAAGATGAGTCTGTTCAAATAAAAACTAATTTAATTAAATTTGAAATTAATTAAAGAATTTAATTTTCAGAGCCCAAGAGGCCTAAGGCCCATCTTTTGATAATTAATTATATATTAATTATATATATATTAATTATCAATTAATTATTACACCCCAAAGCCCAACCCCAAGGGTGAGCCCAATTTTAGTCTCCAATGTCG